CTCTCTCTCTCTCTCTCTTGTCTTTTTTATCCCCCTGCATTTCCTAATTGGCAACAATCAGAGTGCAGGACATAATAGATTTAAGTCAGATTTTTATTAACTGATAGGAAAACATGTCTGAATGGTAAGAGCAGTTTGATGAGGACACAGTGTGCTCCCTTCTCTGGAATTGTTTAAGTGAAGTTTAGACAAGCATCTTTTGAGGATGCTTTGATTTGGATTCTTGCACATAGGAGGGGGTTGAGCTCATCTTAAGATTCTATGAAGTGTGTCTCTGTGCATTGTTCCAGTATACACAAAATACGCACTAGAGCTCAACTCATGGTTATGAACAGGAGTGAAGAAGCTTGCATCTGCCCTTGTTATTTATTTCATGTGAATGGGGCTTGCCAGCAGATTAGCCAGTCCAGCTGTATTGTTTCAGTTTTATAGAGAGAGTGCAGTTTCTCCAGGTTTTCTTGTACGAGATGTGTGACAGAAGCAATGGTAGGCCTGCACCTCTGTTGTGGGGTATATATCTCTTGCACTGTGCTGGGAAAGTAGAAGTGATTTCTGAATGAAGCCCCTTGTAACAATGGCGAGTTCTGAGGGAGGAAAGGAGCAAGTATGCTTGAACTAAGATTGCAGGCAAGTTTGGACTTGTGTGAAACGTGAGAGGTTCCTCAACGTTCTGCCCTTATTTCTGCAGCATAAACTTCTTGGATAGCAAAACAGTCTGATCTGATGAAGATCAGCGCCCCTGCTATTTTTCTGTGCTGTGCTATTTTTCCATAAACATGTGGCAGCTAGCTAGCCAAATGACACTGGGTGCGCCTCTCTTTTCTACTTCCTCTGTTGCCTCAAGTGACTTTCTTCCAGCAAATGTAAGGTGTTTGTTCCTATCCTGTAAATAAAACGCTGCATACCACGGCAATAACGTGGAACAAGAGCCTACTCCTCAGTACTGAGGATAGGCTTCTAGGATGTAAATCTTCCAAAGCTTGTGTTGATTGTATTGATGTTACAGTTCAGCCATGGCCCAGCTCTAGTTGTCCACACTATCTGGACGAGTCCATACCATCTGACTGATTACTTGGAATATACTTGTGATTTGTTTATTCACTTTTTAGGCGCTGATCTTTTTGTTGAAAAAACACATGCAGTAAGTTTAAAATAAAATTGCCATTATAAGAAAAATCAGTTGCGTTCAATACCTACAAATCCCAGCAAGTAGCAAAAAACATTAGCCGGTAAAATTGCTTTATGTGGCTGTGGATCCCACATTCCTAATTTGAACTTGGTCTTGCAATTTAACAAGGCTTGGGCAGAATTGTTTTAGTTACCAATGGTCAGTTTTCTTTCAGGCCTTTCTGGGTTGTAAATTTTGTATCCACCTTAGCCATATTTTATGTAAGAACTTTGATTTTGTTTGTTGTTATGCTCAGTAAAGGTGATATTGGAACTCTGGATATTTTATCCATTTTCATCTCTTAAAATAGAGTTATGTTTGTGAGAAATATAAAATTTTCACAAACATATGTTTCAATACTATCATTAATACTGACTGGCAATATTTATGTTGGGTCACTGCTACTAGCCACAAGCTAGGGATCCTTTTCCTTGAGTCACATGAGAAGCAAGCTTCTGTGTGGAGCCCTTGGGGTTCTCTGAGCTTGGCTGTTTTCTTGCAAATGTTTCATTACCCGGCTAGGTAACATCTTCAGTGCTAGAATGGACTGGGGTCTGCTCTCTCTTTATCTGCTGTGGCCTGCCTTGCCAGTGCTGGTGTGTGTGTGTGCATGCATTTGGATCAAGCTTCTGTGTGCATTTGGATCAAAAAATGTAGTGTAAACCAATCTATATGGACTGCATTTATTTCAACTTAATTCCATTCCACTTTACATTAATTTCAGTGGCATGTGCATCTAATATGTCCTCATTTACTATCTGGCACAATTAGTTATACAAAACTGGAGATGAAATAGGGAATCACAATTCATGTTCTTTGATAGTTACACTGTTTAACACAAACACCCTTGTTTTTCTGAAGGGGGAATTCTTTTAACTGTATAGAACTATCAAAGGTATTGCCTGATCTAAATTAGAGGTGGACAACCTGCATGTTACAAATGGCTTCTTAGACTCTTTTCCACATATTGTACTATTGAAATTTGACTGCAAGGCACTCAATAAATGCAATATAATTTCCAAATGATCTTTGTTGGGTAACCCAGTAAAACAAGCGTATTAAGGTTGAAATAGGTTTGAAGCATCTATAAAACAAACACACAAATATATACAAAGAAAAAAAATTAGACAGGAAATTCTGCCCCAGCTTTCCAGTCGTATCATATCATTGCATCTCTTCCAACAACAGTTCTTGGTGGGCAAAATGCTTCTCAAAACAAAGTGCAACCTTTGGTCACAAAAATTTGTCTGGCCCTGCTCTAGAGAAGAGCAGAATTAGCGTAATCACAGATACAGGTAGTCCTTGCTTAACGACTATTCGTTTAGTGACCATTCAAAGTTATAACAGTGCTAAAAAAGTGACTTAACAACTGGTGCCCAAAGTTACGACCATCGCAGCGTCCCTGCGGTCATGTGATCACGATCTGGGCACTGGCAAGCAGCTTGCACTTGTGACAGTGCTGTGTCCCAGGATCATGTGACTGCCATTTGCAACCTTCCCAGCCGCCTTCCAGCAAGCAAAATCAGTGGGAACCATGTGATTCACTTAATGACTGTGTGATTCATTTAACCACATGATTCACTTATTGACTGCAGTGATTTGTTTAACAACTGCCACAAAAAAGGTTGTAAAATCGAGTCCAGTAATGTGATGATTCACTTAATGACCACATCACTTAGCGACCTAAATTCTGGTCCCAATTGTGGTCATTAAGTGAAGACTACCTGCATGTTTCATCAACAAATCCATAAATTAATTCTTATTAAATCAATAGTTAGTACACACTTGATGTAATTTGGTGGTTATGAAATAAAATAGGCTAGAAATCTTTGGTTCAAATGTCACTTCCACCATAAAATTACTAGACGGTGTTCACACTACTACTTTTTCATCCACCTCACTGCATAACACTCCCCATTTTACAATTTTGGGAAAAATATTTTTTCAGAGATCATATAAAAACTATTGAGATCATAATATTTGAAATCCTTTATAAGATAAAGTGCCATGTTTATGTTTAATATAATTATTATTTGTAGTCTCAGACCCTGATATTTCATAGATACATAGGAAGTAAAACTACACCTGTTTATAGGTAATCTGGATGATTTAAATCTATGTTTAGACTCATTTACAGAACTGTTGAACAATTCTGAAACAATACTTAGCAAATATATATTTTAAAATTTTAGCTGGTTTTCTAGAGCAGGCTTTAAAATGTAGAATGGCAAATTTAGGTTAAACCTAATTGGCCAATTTAGGTTCCAATCATGCTCTTGAAATATGACTTCATTATTGGATCTGAAGCATGACAATTGTGGATCATTGTGGTTGATATTCTTAATAACATTATGGGGGTAACCATCTGTCGTAAATGTAGATTATGTTCTCTTTCTAAGGAATTGCTAAGGGAAGCCAGCCTGAATGATATGAATGAGCTGTGACTGGATATTTTCCTTAAATGTAATCTTAAATAGTTAAGCAAAACGGAAATTCACACGATCATCAAAGATGAGAAATATGAACTATGAGCTAGAATAGGATGCACAAACGGCAACCTCAGGGTCACACAGACATCCTCTCAAAGCCTTTGATCCTGCCCCCAAAGTTCCAACGAAATCTTTTGCCAACTTGCAGTTTTAATGTGAAATTGGGAACAGGGAAATTATTAAATGCATCAGGAAGAACCAACTGCATTAATTTAATATAATGAGTTAATGCTAGTGAATTAAACTGCATTTTTGTCCTGGTGCCATTTACTTTCTGCAGTCTGCCCTCAGCATTCCATTTTAAGTGCATTCTTCAGCCAAAAGTCTTATGTACCCTGGCCTAGAATTTTTCAAAATTACTGTTGTTTTTCCTTTTAATGAAATTGTGGAAACTAAATTCACAGAAAGACAGACAACTGTGTACTGTTAGCACTGTGTGTTATCATTTTACAGTTTAATCCTACATATGTTTATTCAGAAGTAAAGTCTATTCATCTTTAGGGAATTCAATTTTAAGTAAATTGAAGCTTTAAATGAAACACCAAGTTATGAAATTAGACATATATCAATTGACTGATAAAGTAGTGTGATCTGTTGAATTTTCATAACAACCACTGCTCTAGAAAAGCAAAAGGCATTTTTTCAAGTTAACCTTGAATTTAAAATCCATTAACCTAAGTCAAGTGAGTCATTAGAAACAAAGCTCAGTTATGCCTACAAGTATATTTTAGCATTTAAGAACATTCTTGTTCTCAGGTAGATTGTTAAATGTTGTAATGGATAATGCTTGATAAAAAAGTTTAAAATAAGAAATTATATTGAGTATATATTCTTTTAGGTGGTAGGCAATAAACTGATTCAGTTTGAATAAAAGCTTAACTCATCAGTTTTAAGAACGATGAATCAAATGTGAAAACTAGTAGCTTTTATTGATAATACAACTATAGATCTCTTATAAAATTACATGGAATTGCAATAGTGCACATGAAATAACTTTTTCTTTAAGAAAATAATTTATCTGTTATAATCACAACACACCGTTCTCTTAATTACTGTAAGTATATTTTCTTGCAATGAACTGGCTGTCTATAAATGATGGATCCACCGATGCAACTTTAGCAGCTATAAATGAATGAATGCAGTTTAAAACTGCTGTCAAATCCTGAAATTCTAGTTCCTGAAAGGAAAATAAGAAAAACAGAAAAGGTGAAATGAAGAGCATCGATAATAATTTATTCTATAGAGTATTACACTCTCTAGTTCAACAAAAGATGGCTTTCTTTAATATATATCTTCTTACTTAAGAATACTATGTCAGTATTTTAATGCTCAAAGTACAGTGGTACTTCGGGTTACGAATTTAATCCGTTCCATGACTCTGGTCGCAACCCGATTTGTTCGCAACCCGAAGCAAATTTTCCCATAAGGTTCAATGTAATTCCCGTTAATCCGTTCCGGCGCCCGCGGACCACGCGTCAAGGGCAGAAAAACAGCCACGGATCGCGCGGCAGGGGCGGAAAAACAGCCGCGGACCACGTGTCACAGTGGAAAATGGTCGTGGATCCGGTTCATACCCTGAGGCGGAGTTCGCAAACCGAGGTAAATTTTTGCGGCCAGAGCTGGTCATAACCCAAAAAGTTCGTAAGCAGAGGCGTCCGTAACCCGAGGTACCACTGTAATTGATGTGAGGTAGGGGAGACAAGTATGAGGAGAAATTGATTTGCCCTGCTGCTGTGGTTTGAACTCATTAACTTAACATGCCCCTTCCAACTGTATCTTTCTATGAGTCCATGCTGCAAAAGATACTGAGGAAGGGGGAAAAAGCACATGCACACACACTCCAAATTTTGCACTTTGCATATCTTGTTGAAAAAATGCTCAGTATATTATTATACAGTATTAAGCCCCTTTTCTGTTTAACTGTGTGAAGAGAGGAGGAATTTTTTTGCAGACTTGGTGCTGACGTAGGAGTATCACCTTATATCACAAATGTTGCCAGTAAGAAAAATTTGAAATGAAAGTGGAGGTTTTTCTTCAAATTTGGCATTGGACTATCAGCAAAAGTCAAAAAGCATCTGATACAATTAGCAAGCTCTCCTTGAAAGTTTGGAACATTGGTGGCCATCACCAGGTTTTGCTCAAAGCAACATTCTATTTTTGTTGAAGTTTCCTCTCAGTTGATAGAGCTGAACACTTTTAAAAGAAGCCAGAAAGAATTTTAATGAGGCTAATGAGGTTTGGGCTGATTCATTCTTTGAAGACTTTTTCTAAGTCCATTATTGCAGTTTTCTAAAATATCTCTGTCTTACTAGAAGTCAATGTGGACTTCTTAGGACAAACTCTTTGTTTTACTTCATTCTTTTGATTTAATAACTTCCCTAATAAATTGTTGGAATGCTATGAATATAGCATATCTTGGCTTCAGCAAAGGATTTGATGAAGTATCCCCATTACATTCTGAATAGCAAGTTACTTAAATATGGACTGAGTGGTCTCTCTTATAAGATAAATCCAAGGTGGCTTGAAAGCCATCCTCAAACAATGCTCATTAATGGTTCCTCATCAAACTAGAGTGATATATCAAGTAGGTTCCCAAGGGTTTAGTTTTCATCCCAATGCTCTTAAAATAGGCTACTATTGTGGTGAAAGAAACACTATATTGTGATGCACAGTACATCAAAGAATGTTATTATTTATCTACATAAGATTGAACTATAATTGTCAATTGATAATGAAAGCTTATTCCCTACTAGTGCTTAACTGTATGAAAACTTACTTAAACTTATTTTAAGTCAATAGGGTCCATTAAACTCAATTAATGTAGGACTGCAGCCTAAATTGAAACCTCACTGCAAAATAGTCCTATTTATACTTACTTGGGAATAGGTAACATTGAAAGGCTTTACTTTCCAAAAACCAGACATGGAATTGTGCTGATAAAAATTAAAGCAGGGAATAGACCACTCAACCCACTTGTGGGTCAAATCCAGTCTTCTGGAAACAGTCTCAGCCCACGTGTACTGTATCTTAACTTGTTGGGGGAAAAATGTCTGTTCTGGCTGGAAGAGTTTCCTTGCATTCTTAAACAAACAAACAAACAAACAAACAAACAAAAAACCTCAAACAAACAGGGATGAATTTCTTTTCTCCAGCTTCTTTTTATCCCCTCTCTGACAACCAAGAGCTAGAAGAGCTCAACTGGAGATGACAAAATGTTTTTGGCTACCAGAGAATATCACCCCTCCCCCACAAATCACTATGTATCTGAAGGCTATGGTTGGGGTGACTGATCCCAATCTCATCATAATAGTCACTGTGGTTTAAGAATGGATCTATTGATCTCTGAACCCAGTAGTCCCCTGTCCTTCCTTACTTTTCCATCAGGACATTTTTATACCAAAAAAAAAAAAAGTTTTGTTTTGTTTTAAAGAAACTCTCAGTTTTTAATGATGTTACTGAAGCACTTCTTAAATCAATAAATGAGAGACAGAATTTCATAGAGTTTTTTGAACTGAGCACTGAGAACTGAGAATAGAAATATTCAATTAGTAGGTTTTCTACCCAATATTAAACATGTGGATTGAATCATTTGACACTCTCCTAAATCACTAATAGTTCATGTTTCCCTTTTTCTTCCAGAATGTATTTAGTTAGTTGGTTATATCTAGAAGCTGCCTGATTCCAGATGGGTGGCTTATATTATAAGGTAAAAAAACCCAACAAAAACAGGGAGAAAAATCCTGAATGTCTGGAAGGACAAACACAACGCCTCCCAAAACAGCCCAAAGAAAAATTGACAGGGGGTCAGCAGCAAGACTGGGAACAAAGCTAAGTTTTGAAAGATTTTTGGAACACCATCAGGAACGGGAGCTGCATGGATTTCCAGGAGGATGCTATTCCAGAAGGTAGGTGCCCCAACAAAGAAGGCACATATCCATAGATGACTTTGCTTAACTGAAGGGACCTGGAGCACTCCCACTCTGTCCAATCTTACTGGGCAGGCAGAAGCTATTGGGGATAGGCAGTCCCTCAGATAGCCAGGCCCTAGGTCACCTTGTTTCTAATATTTCAATCTCTCCTTTGAAGCACTGACATTTCTCTTGCATTTCACTGATGTAATCCTCTTCCCAGGCAGTATGGAATTTTATCTTTCAGCCCATATCTATCAGTGTATTGCCAATGGTTTCTTAGATGCATTTTATGAAAAAATGAATGTATGTATAAAAGCATCTTTCTTATGTACTATATATTAACCAAAGTAATACAATTACAGAAAATATGGTAGCCTTAATTTCTGTTAGGATGAAAAACAAAATTAGGTAAGAAACTATCTCAAGTAAGACTCTTAGAATTTGGGATGGAAACTGTTTCAGACCACAGCAGGAATGCCTTTTCCTTGGTACAAATATATTGCCCATAATTAAAGGTTCTAACTTGATACATTAGTCATAGCTTTATCACTCCTCTTGTTAATATTTTAATTATATTCTCAGCTTCCTTTAAAACATAATCCAAATTTTACAAAGAAACCCACACTGCTTTTTGCCTGTTTCTCTTTTAACAGCTCTCTGCAAAAGTAACATATTCCCTCCGCCTCCAATATCGCCATCCCATTGAGACCTTTTGTTTATTTGTTTGCCCTAATCCAAGAGTGTCATTCTTCTGAAGCAGAACTGAGAGTCCACAATCTGTTTTTTCTTCCACAGGATCAGTCCACCAAGGTCTTCTCTCTGGGATACTGATTTCTCCCCCTATGATTTTACATTCAAAGGTATTGTAATGTTCAGGAGTTATTCTTTGTGCAATGTTTCTTCCTTTGGGCATAGTTTCGGTTCTTTAATGGATTTTTTTTTTTTGCAGGAATCTTAACCTTGGAATAAAGACTAATATTGTAGTAATAAAAGGCTATTGAAGATTATTTCCAAGGGAAATACAGGCCCAGGAATGTTTCCAGCTTCCAGAAGAAATGTGGGAACCTTTTGTACTTTTTGTTTGGGGTATACTTTGTATATGACTGGAAGAAGGAATAATAGAAACAAGGTTTTGGTAGATTCTTTTGAAGATTCTAATTTGTTCCTACAATCTTGCAACTTAAATGACCATTTTTTTTAAAGGGGGGGGGGAACAATTATTACAAGAGCATCTGCTATATCCTGAAGCTAGTGGACCCCAGGAGGTAGGTACTTTTCTTTTTTCAAAAAAGTGGGAAGTTTCAAACTGGAACAGTTCATGGAAATATTTTCATTAAATTAATCATAAGGTTTGTGGCCAAGCAAATGTGTCTGACATTTGCTAGCTTGCCTACTCAAGGGGAACGAAATTCACATTGTTTGATTTCATTATATGTTTCTCATTATTGGTTACACTTTCCTATCCAGCAACATTTGTCTTTTCTGGAAATCCCATCACAAACCTGGCCAGTGTGACAGTACAAACTCCATTAATAATAAATGTTCAGGTTATCCACCTTATTTTTTTCCTCCATCCTAACAGTTTCTGAATCCAGAATAGAATTTGAAAACTAGCGTTGGTCTGTCCCTCAGGTCCCTTAATCAACTTTCACTTTGTTTTTCTGGCATCATCTTTAAGTTACTGTGCCTGAATAAGGACAAACAGTTTGTGCAACTAGAGAAAATCTCAAGTTACTTAGAAAAAATAATGAGCATTTGTGTAAATTACAATAGGAAAAAAATGGTTGGTGAGGTGGATTATGAAAACTCAGTATAATACACTGATATAATACACTGGTATGTTAGTAAATTATAAAGCAGTTGAATCAAACATTCACCTGCATGAAACTTTGTTTACCTAAAGGTTGAAGGTCCATGGACCATAGACAGACTCCATGTACAAACAAATGTGGCTCATGGAGAATCTCAATTACTTTTTTTGCCAGCTAGCCAGCCAACCAATCAACTATTTCATCTGACTGATAGAAAAAAGAATGGAGCAGAAGAACAGAATGGCAATGGAATGGAATGGAAAACAAGGATCACCAGGAAGAAAAGCTATGGAACCTCATAATATCACTAAGAGGGGAAATGAGGAGATGTATGTGTGTACAAGTGCAAATGTGTGACTCTGTCATTTATGTGTGAATAAATGTACATGTTCCCAGACTAACAACTGATGTGACCCTCAGGTCTGAAAAAGTCCAACACCTTTTAAGGTAGAATAGTAATGAGAAACTATAAACTGGACCAAAAATTTATGGATGCAGGTGTATGTTTGGATCATGGGCATTCTTATTTACTTCTGTACACGTTTGTTTGTTTTTTTTGAAATAGAGGGGAAAGCAAACAAGTGAAAATCAACTGTGAATAGATGAACTTGATAAACAGAGGTAATGTGATTAGGCAGAAAATCATATATAATTGATTTCTTTTCTATAAGATTGTTACTTATCCACCAACTCTTAACCTTTGGCTGAATAATGTGCATCCAAGAATAGAAGTTGAAATGTCTATCACATAATAGCTTGGCTCAATGCAATAACAATTAGATATAATAAATACAAGAACAATGCTGGTTCACTATTGGTAATCCACCTTGTGGATTACATAAAAAGAGAGAGCTCATACTTAGATTACCTTTGCAATATAAACCAGGACCAAAGATTACCTTGATACATATTCTATTTGATTTAATACAGCTAAGTATGCTACCCACCTTTGTCTCAATTTGTTTTGTTTCAATATTCTGAAAAAGCAGTTTGACTCGAGTTTTTCCATCATCTGATGACCCCTTGAGCTGAGAAAATTTAAATCTCCAGAGAATCTTCTACAAGAAAATGGAGAATTTTTAACATTTTGCCCATTGGCTGAAGTTATTGTTTTATTCAGAAGATCTTCGTTCTTTGCATATGGAGGCTAATTATGAAGCAACATGGAAAAGATCATCCTTGCAAAAACTTTAACTCTATGGGCTCTCAAAAGAGGTTATTTTGATGATGGCCTATGATCATGTACTTATTGTACTCACGCAATGTACTAGAGACTGGGAAGGCCAATTGGACTAATCTGCCCTACCCAGGAATGTGTTTCTGAGTAGTCAAGAGCCTTTTTTTAGGCCAGCAAAGTACTTAAACCTGATAACACCCCAAACTTCAAAAGGTGCTAATATCATGCCCTCTCAACATCTCAAGGGCAAATATAAAAACTTTCTAAAGAGCTGAGATTGTTCCCCTTGTGAAGAAGCAGCCACAGGACCCATAGCCCATTTTCTGTTATATTGTATCTTCTCTAAGGATGGTAGGGCTCACTTCATAACTCCCCATTTGATGAAGTTCATGGACAATTCTGATTTATTTTACGCCCAGTTACTCCTATCAGACCAGTATGTTTCTACTTCCTTGAATGTGGCAAAATGCTGTTATACAGTTTGTAACATTTGACACATATTGACAATCTAGTTTAGTTATTGATTCATTTCTGGAATTTATATGGCTGCCCAACTTGAGCACTGTGACTCTCGATAGCTTACTACAAACCAACCAACCAACCAAAACAAACAATTCGAATGAAAACCAATGCAAAACGGTAGGTAATCAGGAACTCAAAATTATTACCCTCCTCCGGAAAGAAACTCCAATCATCCTAGTTACAATTATATATTTGCATTTTATTTTATCAGAATCAGAAACCATTCAATTCTGGCCAATGATCATAATAAAGAACTACTACAACATGTTGGTATTTGCCTGTGCTATAGAACAACATCCCTGCTAAGTTACATCTGGCCCCAATTTTATTTGAATAAGACCAATGACTATGTCTTGTTTATTCTCAGGAATACTTTGCTGTAAATATTTACACTGTAAATATAATAAACTAAGGAATTTGACATACTTATTTTTATACTGCTGAATAAAGTATATATTCATAGTATGTCCATCACTTCTTCACTTTTCTTCTTGGTGTAATGGAGTTCTAGATTTGAAGTTCTGTTCTTCGTATTCGAGAAAGAATATGAGCTCACTGCTGTGATTCAGCATTTCATATATTTTTCTAATAAATGGATTTAGTCAGAGCAGTATTTTATTGATCAAATGTACCATTCTATCATTAAACATTGACAAAGGTATTGAAGAGATAATAATTCCTTTGTGAGTGAAAGTGAATTGACTAATTTGATACAAGGTGAGTGTTTTTCCTCTAAATTAAATCTGCAGTTTTTAAAATCCAGTTTAAGCTGTTTAAATATAGCTTACTTGATACATGCAGTTATGTTTCCAGTAGCTTTTTAAAAAAGGTAGTTTTTTACATTTAATATCTTTCAAATGATTTTTAAAAAAACAAAACACAACACCTAGTTTTGAGTTCATCACATACTTATTCATATTGGGAAACCCCCAATCTGATTTATTGTTCAAAAGTTTTATAACTTTCCTCAATATGCAACTGATCAATATCATGTTCTTTCTAGAGATGCATTTCAATCAATATATTGAGCCATCCTGATGAGTGGGAGAAGTTCTGAAGGTAGATGGGGAAGACCTGTGTCCAAAAGAGAGGAAGGAAAGAAGACCATTTCCCCCTCTGCTCCCCCCTCTTATTATTCTGCTTTCTCTGTGAGAAACAAACGTATATCAGCTAACCCACATTTTTCCAATTCCCAGGGTGTGGCAGGGAAGTGGCAGGGTTATAGATTCAGAAAAAGCAAGCTTTACCCAATCTGTCCATACAGTGCCCTTCCCTTTATTCAGTCAAACCTTGGATCAACTCTTACTCCTCCCCCTTTTGAAGTTTTGAAGATCAGAATTTTACCCACTCCAGAAATGGACTATTAACATTCACATTTTCTAAAGTAACAGCATAAATTATTTTATATTTTATTTTCTGATTCTACTTACCTTTGTTTTATTGTCAAAACATGTGAATCCCACAGCAAAATCTAAGGTGAAACACAGACTTTCTCCTTGCCAGGTACACATAAAAGTTTTAGACTGGAGAAAGGTTAAAATATATATTAATTTAGTGGTAACTCCCAACTGATCTGAAGTAAAACATTCATTATAAGCCATAAGAGCTGCAATCTTTTGTATGGTTACTTAGAAGTTAAATAACAATACACTGCAGCTGAACAGAAGGATTCTGATATCAGAGTCCCTGTAAGTCACAGACGAACAAAAGAGAGTATATAAGTTTCTTCATAAGTTTAATGAAAAATTCTTGCTTTCTTAAGGCTTAAGTGTGTTCTTCACTGGAGGCCACATGCATCAGAATGAATAGTTGCTGAATCTCCAAGTAATTCAAATATAAATTCTCAGGTTATTTTTTAACACACGGCATGAACTATGTATTTGAGCTGATGGTCTGCTTATATTTTAAATACCTTCTTTCTTTTTAAACCTTTGGAATAAAACAACATTTTTCTTACTTTCTTATTAAACAAATGTCAGTACAGACCAAATGACAGTTAATAACTGAATTATGTGTCACATCTATACTATGTGCCAATACATATATTAATACTTAAGTGTGAATGAAAGGTTTAAAAATGTGAATATCTTTCTTTTTTCTTAATTTTTTTTTAAAACTGGGATTACATTCACTGAGATATTAATATTCCTGAACATTTTATCAATTTTTACAAACTATCTCTGGACAAGTTGATTCCAAATGCAATTTAGCTGACAGTCACTCATTTTAGGACCTAGCAGCAACTTTTTAACAAATCATTTCAAAAAGAAATGCTATTTTAAAAGCTGTGAAATACTGCAAAACGTGCAAGAATATTTACATGTTGTGTCTATGTGTATATTTCCTGTTTTTTTTTTTTTACACACCTTTAACAATAAATGTTTGTTCATAAATGATTAATGGCATCTAGAGAAAGGGGTTCAAAACAGCCTTCAATTTGAAATGTGAAAAATTTTGTCCTGAATAGGTTTTATGCTGTTGGCTAAAGATCTATTACAGGCATTCTGTAAAGTATGCCCAACAACATGTGAGCTGGGACAACTTCGAATTAAATAGGCACGTATTAAACCTTCTCAGTTTGCAGATACTTCTCTAACAACCGTTGGGCCGTGAGCTTTATGAATTGGTTTTCCTTGCAACATGAATCCTGATAACAAGGTTCCTCCTTGTTACAGAAGTTTGCACTGAACAGGATTACACTTATGGAAATAGGCACAGAACATAAAGGCAATGGAGTTTTGTGACCTTTTAAAAAAATCTTGCATGGGTGGATTTGGGGCCATGAATTTAACTTAACATAAGCCAACTCAGTCATATATAGTGGCTTGAAACAGAAGTGGCTTCTGTGCATGTGCACAACTGGAAGCAAATATCAGAAATGCAGCTCCCTGTGCTGTATTTAGTATATAATATAATTTAGACCTAAGTCAAGAGAAGCATTGGCAAATGTGTCTTGAGGGAAACATTCAAATACTACAAATATAGCAGTCTGTTATACTGTAACCATAGTTACGTCACTTAATGTTTCTCATACTTTTTGTGACTGCATAAATGCTAGGCTAAAGGCTTATAGAGGAGTGCTTATAAACATTCCCTCCTGTGAATTTCTGCCCTGATTTTGTGGGTCTGAATTATTTATTTCTGGTTACAGGTGCAAAATATCCATGATTTCACTTATTCAATTTTGAGACTGATGAAAATCAAAACTTACAAACCCTTGGCTCTTATTAGGTTTTTCAGTCCCCTCTTGGTTTCCTCCCACCAGTAGCTGATACTCATCTGTGCATATGGGCCCCAAAATTCTGCATGCGGGCTTTATTGTGTGTGTACCTAAACACATCAGTGCATGTTCTTTTATTTTGCTTCTCTACATATTTCCCTGCATTCTGCTCTCTTTGGACATTAGAAGTACTGGTTTTTGTTTTTTTTTTAACTGTGTGACAGTGCTCACTTTCTTAACATTTTGGTACCAAATAAGATGTAAAAGCTTTGTCTTCAGAAATATATTTGCAGTAATCGTGGATTTAAGGAAAGGCTTTAAACCCATGTAGCAAATCCAGAGACCTACACTCTGAACTAGCTCTAGCTGATCCAAAATATTATAGTTATGAAATGAGGTTTTTTTGTGTACTTCTGTACATAGAACTAGAAATTGTTCTTCGCAATGCTCTGCAGAGTATGTAGACAACTGAAACATGCATCCCGTTACTATATGAGTTCCTTTCGTGTGTTTTAAAATACAAATGTGCTATTGCTGTTAGCAGTGTGCAACGTTTTTTGCTTTTAAAAAAATACATATATAAAGTAGAATTCCATACTGTAATCTTTTGATTGCAGGAAGACTACAGAAATTAGACTGCATAATTAGAGTTGTCAGCAGGACCTGATGCTTAATCCAAAGGGAAAGGCTGCTTCGCGTGTGGCATCAGAGGGCAAGGACAAAACGGGCAGAGCTTGCAGGGTGGCAGCAAAACACAGCTTTCCTCACCCCCCTCCCTCCAGGCAAATGCCTCTGAGAATAAAACGAAAAAAATATTGACGAGGAAGGTTTTTTGGACAGAGGGAAAATGTTAACATCAATTTAAAAATATATGTATTGTTGAATATTATTGAAGCAAAGCAGTTACTCCCTGAAACCTATTCGCATGCTGTCACCTCTCTAACAATTGGTTGCCATAATATACTCAGTAAAACTGTGCTACTTTAGTGCATACACCTGCCTCTCTACATGGATTTTGCGGAAGGAAAATAAACAACTGAATCTAACCGTTTTTAAAAATAATTACAACGCGTATAAAATTTGAAGCCGGAAGTAGAAGACAAGACAGAACCGATCTAAAGTGAAACAGAATTCCTTCAGTTTGCACATCCTTCCCAAGGTCGTTCATTGGTCCTCGAGAACCAGTTGGTTTGCTTCCAGAAATTGCTTGATTTCCCCAATCTTTTTCACTGAAGCTTGTGAGTAATAAACTGTAGGGCTATCATATTTGGGTAGTAAAACTCGGAATGAGCAACAGATGGCAACAAGCAGATATGGAAAACTCTTCCCTTGCTGCCATGTTGATTTTGGCAGCCTGGACAGAGTAGCCCTAATCTGATACAAAGCCTTGTTCCTAGAACTATGAAAAGCAGCCCTATAAGTATGCCTACTTGATCACAAGACAAATCCCTTTCAAATCCTTTTTCTGTTCTTATTTGAGTTGATTCATGTAGCTTTCTAAAACAAACATGGCTCAAGCAGGTATCCTGTGTATTTATTTAGGGTTTTCCTCTGGAAGAATCATGAATATGATTAGCAATATGCAGCCATAAACCAAGCATTGGTAGTCTAAATAAAATATGGATAAGAATTGGAGTATATTGAGGTTTTTTTTTCTCCTATTGCATGTCTTTTATTATTACTCTGGCTGTTTCTTTATGTGGTAATTTCAGCCCCAAAGTAGCAACGTACCTTATTGCCTTTTGGGGCACAGATACATTTACAACTACTTTTTCTAATTACTGTATGTAGATCCTCCCACTTGCCTCATAGTGTGAAATTTTGCCTCCTATACATAAACACAGATTAGGGGCAGCAACACACCAGATTTAACAAGTTTTACAAAAGGTCACTCTCATACAGTGCAAAAAACAGCATTTAGCTACTGTGGGTTCCTGTGTTCAGAACTGGAATTACACGTGAGCGTCTCATTGCAATGAAGCAGAAAAAGAGACAGGGAGTGGGTCCTTGTCACTGCTCATTATTCCTTTTGGGATTTATTTATTCAGATTTATATAGCAGCAGCTTCCTGTAAAAAGCTGTCTGATGCATTAACATTCCTTGACTTCTCCCTACATCAGAATACACAGCTGGAGACTGTAGAGGCATTTATTTATTTATTTATTTATTTATTTATTTATTTATTTATTTATTTATTTATTCAATGTATTAGCTGCCTCAATCACTGAAAAAACTAGGTGGTGTACAAAGATAGAAGAACTATTTAAAACAGGCCAAATCTAGCCAGGAAAGGTTGTTTGATGTAATGGTTAAAGGCACTGGACTAGAAGCCATGGAACTGTGAGTTCTCATCCTGCCTTAGACATTCAAGCCACATAACTTTGGGCCAGTCACGTTATCTCTTAGCCCCAGGAAAAAGACAAAATCATTTCTGAAAATGTGGCCAAGAAAACTGCATGGACTTGTCCAGCTGGTTGCCAGGAATTAAGACTGACTTGAAAACATTATTATGTTATAAATCTTGTTGTAGTTGTTCAGTCGTTAAGTCATGTTCGACTCTTCGTGACCCCATGAACCATATAGTGCCAGGCCTTCCTGTCCTTCACTGCCTCCCTGAGTTTGCTCAGTTTCATGCTCATTGCT